AGTCATCACGGGAAAATACTGGAACAGGGCAATTGCCCGACCTTTTCAAGATTAGAAGAGATCTGAGTTGAGTTAAAAAAAAATGTCTTCAGGCAGAAGCAAGAGTTTATGTGTGTAAAGGGGATAAAGCAGGGATACGATGTTAGTAAATATATGATGGAGTCTGCAGGGGCAGAAGAAAAGCATGGCCCCAACAGACAGAGACAGCAAACACCAAAGCGTTCCAGTAAGGTTCTGGATATTAAACACTTTTTTCTCTTCCAAAAATATGTAAAGAGAGGGAGGAGAAAAATGATAATGATTTAGAGGGCTGCCTTATACATTATTTACTATCATAGGAAGGACAATCACATTCAATAAAGTGATTGATTTATCAACAGATTGATTTATCAAACAAAATCAAGGAATGAGTATTCATACAATAAAGACAGATTTCAGTGAAGTTGTGCCCTAGCACTTTGAAAGCTATGTTTCAAAAATATTCATGAGAGTTATGGATAATTTTTATCAAATGACAAGAACAGACACTAGTCATGGCAAATTTTTGTGTTCTTAGATTGTCACTTAATACTTAATGTTTTTAAGATTAGCCCCTGAGAACCTGCTCATTTACTTTTGGTGCTTAACGATCATTTGGGATATGTAGCTGTCCACTGGCTCCTTTGTTATGACCATAGGAAATGTTATGGTCGCCAGTCAATGATTATTTTTGAAGGAAAGGGAGAAATGCTGTTAGATCTCATACATATTATACCATAAGCACAGTGTAGTAAATACTTTAAAAAGAAAACACAGACCTTAAAAACAAATTTTAAAGGTATACATTTATTTAAGGAAATACAGACTTTCTCATTGATGATAATCATGTAATTTTTTGATTGTATAATCATAATCATAAACTATTATTTTCACCAATTTCTGTTATCAATTTCTTGTAAGACAGCTAGGACTTATAAATATTGACTAGAACACTTTTTGGATTTAACCTAACTTAAAAATATATAAATAAAAAAACCTTTTGGTGTTGGTGGGAATGTTAGGGGGCTAGGACTTGAAGGCAAAGCGACCTTAAAAATCCTTACGTGGCTTTTCTTATCCGCAAATTATTTCTCAGTGTCAAGCAGAAGCATCTTTGTTCCTGGTTCTTGTTTTACTTCTCTGTTTCATGCAGTAGAGACAGTGGATAATCACAACCCCTTTACAATTCAAAAAAGCAGCTTTCAGGCAATTTTTGAGCAAACTTTTGTTGTTATGTTCTCTGATCAGATATTTTCCTTTATAGACAGACATACAGCTTCCTTTCTCTACCCACCTCCAACATAAGGATGATCTCATCATCCCAGTGGTTTAAAAAAAGATTCTGCTTTGGGTATCAGGTGTTTTGGGAGGACTGTTCTTCAAAACTGGGTTCCAAAAAAGCTCATAAGGCTTATGATATTTTAGACCATTTATTATAGAATTGAAGGTTCTAGAAGCCTTTTAGATTTACAATGCTTTCATCTTGTCTGTTGAATGAACTCGTATTAGTGGTATTTGCATAGTAAGTTGGCTTGTAAGCTTGACTGTGTGTTTTAAGAAAAAACATTAGTAGTTCAACTCGAAGACATGCAGCATATCAGAGGCAGAGAAGGTCTACATATCCTTTCTGTTTTAATTCTAACAAAAAAATGGCTCCACTATGTAGCGTTCTAGCTCTTTTTAGGAAAGAGATAGGAAACACACACGTATGACTTGTTTAAAGAAGGTATGGCGTGGAGCTTTAGACCTGAAGAGGAAAAAGGTGGCTCAGCAGCAGGATTGCCTACGTTATATGTGAAGCCCAGTGCAAAATGAAAATACAGGGCTGTTTGTTCAAAAATTAAGAATTTTAAGACACTGACCACAGAGCATTCAACCAAGCATGGGGCCCTTCTGAGCCCAGGGCCCTGTGTGACATGCACAGGTCATGCTCATAAAGCCTGCCCTGGTCAGAATCCGAGATGGGAGTAACCAGAAAAGAGGAATGATCTATTTTTCCATGTTTCCCTCCCTCTTTCTGTCCTACTCTTAACTATGTAGTCATCAGATGTGACCCTCTCTCAAGGAGGCAGTGTTACACCAGTTAGCTACGATACTGACCCCCTAACTCTGTCCATGGAAGGGAGGTCCCATTACACCAGTGATGGGGTGGGAGGTGGGGGGTTGAAGGTCTTCTGAACTGACCTAGGAGAGAGAGCATGAACTTGGGAACTCCACAGCTTTCTAGCAGTGTAATTAAAGCTACTTACCCTCTGTAAATCTGATCTTTCATTGCTATAAAATAGTGATTATCTACCTTCCAGGGTTATTGTATAGATTAGACATAATATGGAAAATACCTAGCATAGTGGCCTGTATACAGCGGGAGCTCAATATATATATTGCATATATGGGTGTTCTTTTTTGTTTTTTGTTTTGTTTTGTTTTGTGAGTGAAGAGATGTACTGAGTGAGCATGGGTGAAAAGTCCTCAAGCCTCAGCTAGGGTGGAGGATCTCAAAATGCTTGAAGAGCCTCAGGAGAGCTGGCTGCCTCTGTGCATCCACCCTTAGTTTCCAAGTGCTTTGGAATGGTTTAAAACTCATAACTGCATCTTCTTCCCCAACAGAGGAAGGAACAATCTGTGGGAAGTCAGTATGCCTTAGAGTTCAGCCTCTGACACTGAAAATGTGCCAACTTTCAGCCACACTGCGGAGATCGGGGAAGCACGTGTGGGCAGACCAACTAGAGGAAGAGGCGTGGGGTCACTGCGGTACATTAGGCTTAAAGATGGCCCATCGTTCACCCTGAGATTTTGTGGTCTGTTTTATCCTGTTATGTTTCCATGATATACAAAGGCTACAGCCAAAACCACTTCACGTAGTTTTTTTCCTCTTTGTTTTGATTTATTATTTGTTGTTTACAGCATTATCTCCAATGACAACAATGGAATTTCCTTCCCTACTAACCTGGCCTGTTTCCACTTTGCCTGTTTATTTTAATTTCTTTTTTTTTGCAGGGTTGAAACCTCCACATGACTCTGCTTTGTTTATTTCCTTGCGTGTATGTGTCAGCATCATTTATTAGCATGTCCACTCAGAAGAGCTTTGTTCATTCATTACAAAGGTTCTGTTTCCTGGTGCCGAGTGGGAGTGTGTTCTGGCTCCGGGTTTCTTAGTGCTGCAAAGTGGTGTTGGTTAGTAGTTTTCTCATCACTACACTCTGCAAGCACACGGCTTGCTGTCCATGGCCGACAGAGGAAATGTGAGGCAGGGAAGTAAGTCCGCAGCACAGCACCCTTTTCTCAAATCCTCTGACGTACCACCCCTTGCCCAGCTTATCAATGCCGACTTCCGTTTACTTTTATTTAGGCCGTAGGTCACGTGAGCACAAGATCTGCTTTTTGCAGACATGCTCATTCCTTGAAGACATGTCCATGAAAACCAGTCTGTTGTTAACGAATGAGCAGTTGCAGCTTGCAGTGTTAGCTGCTTGAGGGTGCACGATGAATGATCTAACGACTTGGCCCTTCCTTATGACGAGCTCACAGCCCGCTAAATCCGTCAAAAAGTTAGAGAAGAGGTCACGTGACTTTTGCATCTGTTATTTGAATAGATTAGATCTGTGGCCTCATGTTCACTGGACTCTCATAATTTACCGAATTAACCAATTTATCAAACATTTGTGTGGTACTTATTCTGTATATGACACCATATCTGGTGTCAGGATGCTTAAAAGACCAGACGGTGGAAGTAGAGTTGAAAGCAAATAAATATAATAAAGTGTATATATAAATAAATATACTAGATGACATGATAGAAATCTGGCCCGTGTTTGTAGAGAGATTAACAAAGGAGCAGTCTTTATTCTCTTGGTGTTGGGGTGGAGCGGAGGTGTCACAAAGGACGAAGGTAGTGGATGTATTTGAGATCCATAAGTACTTTCTAATGGCTGAAACAGAGTGGCTGAGAAGGCAGCAGGGCATGCTGGGAGGAGGGAGGTGGAGGAAGCTAGGCACCAGGGGGCTTTGGATGCCACATTATGGAGTTTGGATTTTTATCCTCTGGGAAAAGTTTCAGGCAGGTGGAACATCATTATCAGATTTGGTGTTTTTTTTTCAAAAAATTACCCTGAGATGGAGAGATTCAGGGGAACTTGAATGGAGGAGAGGAGATAGCTTCCTTAGGTCAGGGTGGTGCTGAGCAGGTGCGATGTCATTCTGAACAAGCCAGTGGCAGATGGAACGATATCGAACAAGTAGACTTTATAGAGTACGTGTCGATTTTTAAATATTGTCTTTACAGCAGCTGCTGATGAAACTAGGGTTCAAGAAAGTAACAGCCAATAAATATCGAAGAGACTCTTCCTCTGTGCTTCCATTGCAGTTAGGAAACGTGATTATTGTGGCATTTTGCACGCTGTGCTGTAATACACTATACTACGGTGTCTTGTTCACAGCCCTTTATGCCCTGAGCCACTAAGCTGCTTAAGGTTAAGAACCAAACTACCAAATTATTTGTGTATGCCCAGCATGGAGCCTCACATAAACAACTGCTCAATAGATGTGTGAAGACTAAAACTCCTGACGTCACAGCCAGTGTTTCTTCTCCATGCAGTACATGGCCTGGAAATGAGAAAACATTACTCAGGCTTGCCTTATATCCGCCCATTTCCATCTCTCCTCCTGAGGGGGCCAGAGCAAAGTGACAAGCAGTTATAAAAGGCAGAGGATGCTTTTTACTTGACTCTAAAATTCATATCACTTGGTCCATGATCAAAATGGACAGAAGCCTGCCTCCAGAAGCTTGTGTTAAAATACCAAAAGTGAATATTTAAAATATAAAAAGTGGCCATAAAAGTTAATGCCCATCGTGATTCTGTCTTCAGTGTTTTCATTATCTACAAATCAAGCATGATCATTTGCTTTCATATATATATACATATATATATATTTTTATGTTATGTAATGTTTTAACCTGGATCACATTTGATTCTTCCACACAGATCCGTAATGCCTCCTGTCTGGCTCTTTCAAGATGGAGGGAGAGCCTACTCAAGTGCTATCTAAATTCAAACTTCCCACCAAGGTGGAAAGCGCAGGACCCTGGCTGGTGGAAGATCATGCTCGAATATGGGAAGTTTTAAAGACAGAGGAGGTAAGACAACTCTAAATGACACAGTCGGTGCAGGGATGGATTTTCTTACACTTGAGACCAATTCTTTGTGTAGCCAGCACCACAGGCCCAGCTTGGGAAATTTTTATTCAGAGGCCGTAGGCACAACCATGAGCGGAGAGCAATAAGCCAGGAGTATGTCCCTTGGACATTAATAACCCCACAATGATTCAGCCAAAGGAGGTAGCACTGACCGCTGGGGTTTAAAACATACAGGTAGACATTTTCCTTGTAGAAAATGAACCTGAATGGGAAATCAAATCATAGTTAGAAAGTTGATGACTAAGGATCAGTTGTAACAAACGGAATTGTACAAATTCATTGTCTGACAGCATCAGGCTAAGTATATCAGTTAGGGCTCTTTGGGTGCAAGTAACAAACTGGACTCTGACTAATTCAAGGAAGATGGGCAATTATTGGAGGATGTTGGGAGGCTTACAGAATTGATGAGTAGTTTGGAAAAGTAGGCTTGGAAATAGGACAGGAAACCAGTCAGTAGAAACTGCGCAGAAAAGTCCCCCTAATATAAATTCCAAACTTCTCCTCACTCTCTCCTTATTCTCACATTTCTCTGCTCAAGATGCAAAGCCGTGGGAGACAAGCTTACTACCAAGCTTAGTCACATGACTTTCTTTTCTGTAAAGAGAAAAAGATGCTGCCATGAGAAATCACTATACCAAGTCCTCACAGCACTTATGTTTGGAGTTCAAATATCACTTTTTAAATTTAACATAGTTTCTAAGATTTTTAAGATGCAGCCATATTAATATACATAGTAGTAATTCATTAATTTTCACTGTTGAATAATATGCCATTATGTGGTTATACCATGATTTATTTATTCATAGTTATGCTGATGGGCATTTCAACTATTTATAGTTGTTTTCTTTTTACCAATATGAATAATGCCACTATGAATGTACTTATTATATGTCTTGTACCCCAGTATAACAGTGTCCATGTGTAAAAGTTTTTCTATGTTAATAAGTGAATTTTTGAATTGCATATATGCAAGTTCTGTTTTGAAAGTTATTGTCATATTGTTCTTCAAAGTGGTACCAATGTATACACTCCTACCAGCAGTGCATAAAGTTTTCCCAGTTCCACATCCTGCCATCTTTTGGAATTGTCAGACTTCTTAATTTTTCCAGTCAAGTTGGTATAAAATAGGGTTTCATTCTTTGCTCATCAAGTTTTCTTTGCATCTCAACTAAATCACAGATAATTTTTCTTTTTTGTTTTGAATTTACTTTTCTAAGCCTGCCCAAAAGAATTTTTCTTGGTTTTTTTTTTGGTCTGAAAATGCCTTTATTTTGAGTTCACTCTTAGAATGATAGTTTACATGGGTATAGAATTCTACTTTCTTTTATTACATTGAAAATATTCCATTTTCCTCTGCCTTCCATTGTTTCTGTTGTAAATTAGCTAAAAGTCAAATTTTATTTCTTTAAATATAATGTCTTTTCTTTCTATTTAGATCTCTGCATTTTGCTGTTTTGCAGTTTTACTCTTTTGTCTTTAAGTGTGAGTTTCTTTTTATTTAAACTCTTGGAATTCATAGGGCTTCCCAAATACATGGGTTGGTGTCTTTCATCAGTCTGGAAACAGCTCTGTAATCTTCTTTTCAATTAATTGCTTTTGCTTCATTTTCCTTCTGTAACTTCAATAAGATTTGTTTTTTTACTCATGCCCCTTGAATTTTTTTACAATTATTATCTCCTTTTCTCTCTGTGTTGCATTTTGATTAATTTTAGATATGTCTTCCAATTCACCAATTCTCTTTTCAGTTGTATCTAATTTGTCCTTTAACTCAACCATTAAGGTTTAAATTCCAATTATTGTATTTTTTTTTTTACTTCTAGAATTTCTGTTTTGTTCTTTTAATGTCTTTCAGTCTTTTTTTTTTTTTTACTCTTGCTTTCTATTCATATTTTTACTTTTTAAGACTGTCAAGAACTATGAAGGGTCTGAGATTTCATGTTAGTTGCAAATTAGCTTGCCACAGTTATATAGATGCTGAAAAAAGACATGAGACTCTTGTCTCAGAGACAAAAGACTTTATTGGTCACAGAAAAAGTATTAATAGTAGCCAGAGTGTTAACATGTTTGTTTTGGTTCCCTATGTCCCAGTTTCTATAGGAGTGACAGAGATGGACCTAGATAGCTGCCTACACAGGAGAGGCTCGCTGACCTTGGGAAACTTGTCAGTTTATAGTAGACAGTAAGCAAGGCTAGACTTTCTTCTAGTCTTGCTTACTGTCTAGTAGGGAGATACTACCTTATTCTTAAAGGTTACTTGCTGCAAACATAGGCATGAAAAATGGTTTGAGTAAAGATCAGCAGGGCCTTGATTTTTTGGCGTACAAAGCAAGACATGAAGGAACAAGAGAGACTCATGGAGGAGTTTTTATCAACAATATTAAATATATTGTTTTCATATCCTGAGTTGGCAGTTCTAACAGCTATGGGTCTTATTCCACTATCTGTTCTTTCTATTGGCTCTTGCACATGGTGTTTTGTTTCTTTGTGAATTTTATGGTTTTTGGTCATGGGTCGCTTTTCCTGGAATGAAGGGAGTTTTCTTCAGAGGGAATTTGCATTTTCTTTTGGGAGCGCTACCAGCTGGAAGTCACTTTGAAGTAAATTCTTAGCTTGAGGTTTTTCAGACCACTCAATGTGAATATAGGCTAGAAACCAATGGATGGGTGTGCTTTTGGTAATTCATTCTAAGGGGAAATGATTCCCCATTCCCTGCCCCTATTCAGCACCATATTTCAAGATAAGAAACTTCCTCACATTGTTACGAAGGGCATTTCATCCCCAGTTCACCTTAATGCTGAGGGAATAACATTTTGGTGTCCCAGTTTTCTGCAGTGGGTATTTCCTGTAGATTTTCTCTCCTGAGCCAGTCCTAGACTTTGTTTATTGTTCCCCTTGTCTTTTAAAGTAATAAAACCTATATTAGTTAGAGTGGAACTAAGGCTGTAACAAACACAACAAAAAATTTATGTGTTGTAACATAATAAAAGTTTATTTCTCAATCACATACTAGTCCAGTTTAGGTGTTTTTCATGAGAGTGTAGCTTTTTTCCATATGGCGATTCAGGGACTCAGAATATTTCCTTCTCGCAACTCCACCATCCTCTGAGGCCTACAAATCTTCTGTGTTCAGCTAGTAATTATGGGTTGTCAGAAAAGTCATGACGCATATTTGCAACAGATGGCACTAGTTCATTTTTGGAAGTACTAGAGTCATTCGCATCTATGTTATTGCTATGTCATTTGACAGCTGATAGTTCTAGCTTTATTCTAAAAAAAATTGAGTGATTTGGTTGAGTTTTGGAGATTTTACAACAAGTTGAGGATGGAAGATCAAACTGTCATTTCTGCCATATTTTACTGTTTTACTTCCGTAAAGGGAAGAACACGCATCACACTTGTGAAAAGTTGCATCAAGTTTATGGTGACAATGCTCTACAAGAACGTCAGTGCCAATGATGGTTCACAAAATTCCGTGCTGGTGATTTGATCTCAACGAAGCTCCTCGGTCAGGGAGGCCCACTGAGGTTGATGATGACAAAATAAAGGCATTAATCGAGTCAAACCCATGTTACACGACATGAGAGATTGCAGAAACATTGAACATCCATCATTCAGGCGTTCACGACTACCTGAAGAAGCTGGGATACTAAGCAAGCTTGATATTTGGGTTCCGCATGAACTCAAAGAAGTTCATTTGACGGCGCATATAAACATCTACAATATGGTCATTAAATGTGAGTAAAACAATTATTTTTTTAAGTGACTGATAACTGGTGATGAGAAGTGGATTGTTTACAACAATGTGGTGTGCAAACAGTCTTGGTCCCAACATGATGATTCGCCTCAAACGACATGGAAAGCAGACATTCATCAGAGGAAGGTTATGCTCTCAGTGTGGTGGGATTTTAAAGGTGTCGTGTTTTTTGAGCTCCTACCAAGGAACCAAACAATCAATTCGAATGTGTACTGTCAGCAATTGGACAGTTTGAACGAATCCATCATCCAGAAACATCCAGAGCTTGTTAATTGTAAAGGAGTTGTGTTCCATTGTGACAACGTGAGACCGCACACGTTTGATTACCTGTCAAAAATGATTGGAGCTTGGATGGGATGTGTTGCCACACCCACCATACTCACCTGACCTTGCGTTGTCAGACTTCCACTTGTCTCACTCTCTTCAAAGCTCCTTGTGTGTTATAATGTTCAATTCAGATGAGGCTGTTAATCAGCACCTTGTTTAGTTTTTCACAAATAAAGACAGGTCCTTCTATGAATAAGGAATTATGAAGTTCACTGAAAGATGGCAAAAAGCTATCGAACAAAATGGGCAATATATCATTAATTGATCTTTGTTCTTCATATAAATAAATGACCTTTGAAAAACATAGACAGAATACGTCATGACTCTTCCAACAACCCAATAGCAGAAAAAGAGATTGAAGAAGACACACTCAGTTTTTATCCCTTTTGGACCAGCAGTGACATGCATTGTATCACTTTACATTCTATCACTGAGAGCCAGTCCTACTGCTGCACATGGATGTGAGGGAGATGAGGTGGGGAAATGGCAGCCACAAAGCAGAATTTCGGTAGGCAGTTAAAAAATTGTTACAAAAAATAAAGCTTCCGTTTACCTGGTTTGGCCAATGCCCTCCAAGTGGAGGCTGACTTTAATGCTTATCTCTGTAGGTTCTGCTCTCATATAGGTTTTGACTTTTAAGAATTCTTATTTCTTGCCAGCCTATCACTATATATTGAAAAAGGTTTTTAAATTTTATTTTATCAATCATTTTTAGTGATTTTTCTTGGGACAGTTAATTAGGATATTTAACATTGCTGGAAATGCTAGTCCTACACTCTTCTGTAAGTTATTTAAATAAAGTGTGATCTTAGAATTTACAAATATTTTTAAAAACTTATTTTTAACAATTATTTTACTT